GGGAAGAGTCTTGTTCATTCAAGAATGTGACCCTCCCTAATAATCCAGATCAAACAGAGCGTACTGTATCTATTGCCAGATAAATGTCCCAACAAACGCTTGCGTCAGCCGTACACATAAACAAAGATGACTCCTTGAGTAACATCATCACACTCTTTGTCATGTTCTGAAAACAGGCGGGAGCCATTGTAGGAGGGGCAGCAGTGTTATTCCCATCAGAAGTGTTGGGTCAGACACTTGGGACAGCTAAGGTCAGACACTTGGGACAGCTAAGGTCAGACACTTGGGACAGCTAAGGTCAGACACTTGGGACAGCTAAGGTCAGACACTTGGGACAGCTAAGGTCAGACACTTGGGACAGCTAAGGTCAGACACTTGGGACAGCTAAGGTCAGACACTAGGGACAGCTAAGATATTGCCAGATAAATGTCCCAACAAACGCTTGCGTCAGCCGTACACATAAACAAAGATGACTCCTTGAGTAACATCATCACACTCTTTGTCATGTTCTGAAAACAGGCGGGAGCCATTGTAGGAGGGGCAGCAGTGTTATTCCCATCAGAAGTGTTGGGTCAGACACTTGGGACAGCTAAGGTCAGACACTTGGGACAGCTAAGGTCAGACACTTGGGACAGCTAAGGTCAGACACTAGGGACAGCTAAGGTCAGACACTAGGGACAGCTAAGCGAATAATAGAACATGACTTTCTGCAGAAGGATCATCTGATTTTTAAGGACCACTGCACAACCCCTGATGCATGCTGGTAATCCATCTCCGGGCAAACCAAAAAAAAAACTTCCCTTGCAGTGGGCCTGCCCCTGCACGGCAAGGGTTAAGAGCTTTAGGGGGAGAAGAGTGAAGTATTTTTACTTACCTGATCCCCGCTTCCCCGGCGATCAGCACTCACCCTTCTTCCCTCCGGCTGTGGACTGACCCTTGGCATCCTCAAAGGTCTATAGAGCCAGCATTAAGGTGCCCACACACCTTGCGATTATCGTACGATAATCGCAGGAAATCCCGCGATCGTACGATAATCGTAAGGTGTGTGGAAGCCGTGCGACCGCTTCTACTGTACGGTCGCACGACTTTTATCTTAAGAAAATGTTTGAAAACCCGCCGAGAATCGTACAATTGTCGGCGGGTGTGTGGCATGCTCGCAAGATAAATGCCGAACGGGCCGGTGTGCGCAAATGCACACTGCCCATTCAGCATTGCGGTCATCGGGAGCCTGACCCTCGGCGCGGCGGGCTTGCGATTATCGAAAGTACGATTTGCCTGTCCAAGATGGGCAGATCGTACTTTTTTAAATTACCTTACAACCATCGCAAGACAAATGTCTTGCAGTGTACAACAGCAAATACTGTACAACCGATCTACATTGCTCATGCGCAAATGAAAATACGTGCGGTCGATTACCGCAATTCGTCCAGGTGCTTTTCTTTTGAACCGTGAGATAATCGGGGCAGGATGGGGTCGCCGTACGGCAATCGTAAGACAGTTTGATCATCAAACTAAAAGTTTTGTCCGATAATCATAAGGTGTATGGCCACCTTATGACTGCTGGCATGAAGGGGAGAAGAGTTTGCAGGGACCGGTCTAGCAGCACGGAGGAAGCAAATGGGAGAGGGGAACAAGTATGTAAAACAGCCTTTTCCTGTCCTCTAGCTATAAAGCCCGTGACACACTGCATGCAAAGCCATGCAGAGCAAAGCTGTCAGACACAGCGCTTCGCATGCAGTGTGTGAGCGGAGCGCGGCCAGATGAAAAACTGCATCTTAAGCCAATCGGCTCACGCGTAACAACCCAATGGACGCGCGGGTTTATATGTGCGAGCCGATTGGCTCAAGATGACATTTTGCATCTCGGCGCGTCAACTATGAGCGCTCTCGCAAGCTGACGTGCCGGAGTAAAAAAAAAAAAAGACATGACACAATGCACGAGAAGGTCTGCGCACCACCGCTCCACTCTGCTTCACGTGTAGTGTGTCACAGCCTTAAATGGGCACCCAACTGTTGCAGTGCGACCGGTGGGGCTGTGTGTGGTTACTTAGGTGCCAGTGTAGTTTTCTGGTTTGTCCGGAGCCGGGCTTTAATCTTTTACAACCATCTGGCACTGTAGGCTGCTTTACAGACACTGGGAGTTTCATAAATGTGGTGTATCCGAGCCAACATTTTCATCTAGGAATGCTGGCTCGAGATAGTAAAGATGGCGATGGCCTTCTGGAGAGAAAGGAAGAAGATGGCATACAATAGGAAGAATACGCTAAAGAAGGCCCAGTCGATACAAAAACAGAAAAGTGCATGCTTGATCACCAAAACACCACACTCTGGCCAGGCACGCGTCCCTGTGTAGGGTGTACGTGCATGCTTGAGCGTGCTTCAAGGTGCGTGCGTCTGGCATCCGCTTGTCATGTACTCGATGCCACATACTATTTTAAAGCCATTCTACTCCTACCCTCCTTGCTGAGAGTTTGTAAGCTGTACCTGTCTTGGCCCGACTGGGGCACAAGTGATTTTGGCTCGGCTTCCCCCTTCTGAATTACTTCTGCTTGCTCTCATAATGCGGACATTGGCTTTATTCCTGGACTAGGCTTCTGCTTGCTTAGTTTGTACTACGTTGCCCACACAATACTAACCCATAGCTCCATCCTGCTTGTCTGTCCTTGTTCCCGGGGTGCCTGCCTGACTCTGCACCAGTTGCTGCTGCCTGTGGTATCAGTTGGTTCTGTCATCTCCAGTTGCCTGCACCTTCTTGTGTGACAACCACTGGCCTGAGCACAGAGGCTGCAGCTCCGGCACTCCTCTGTCGCCCCCGTGTGTCACCTCATTTGATTGGTAATATCCAAAAAAGCAAACGACTCACCGCTCCTATTCCACGAGACTCTAGATCAGGGGTGTCCATAATTTTTGTGTTGAGATCTACTTTTCAAATGGCGAGCTACATGAGATCTACCAATGAAAAAAAAAACTTCCCTTGCTCACTCTCCAGGCTGTCCTTTCTCTCCTGGCTGTCTTTCCTCGCTCTCTCTCTCCTGGCTATCATTCCTCATTTTCTCTCTTGGCTGTCTCTCCTCGCTCATCCTCCTGGCTGTCTCTCCTTGCTCATCCTCCTGGCTGTCTCTCCTCGCTCTCTCTCCTCGCTCATCCTCCTGGCTGTCTCTCCTTGCTCATCCTCCTGGCTGTCTCTCCTTGCTCATCCTCCTGGCTGTCTCTCCTTGCTCATCCTCCTGGCTGTCCTTTCTCTCCTGGCTGTCTCTCCTTGCTCATCCTCCTGGCTGTCATTTCTCTCCTGGCTGTCTTCCCTCGCTCTCTCCCTCTCCCCTGGCTGTCTTTCCTCGCTCTCTCTCTCTCCTGGCTGTCTCTCATTGCTGTCTCTCCTGGCTGTCTCTCATTGCTGTCTCTCCTGGCTGTCTCTCCTTGCTCATCCTCCTGGCTGTCATTTCCCTCCTGGCTGTCTTTCCTCGCTCTCTCTCCCTCCCCTGGCTGTCTCTCCTTGCTCTCTCTCCTGGTTGTCTCTCCTTGCCCTCTCTCCTGGTTGTCTCTCCTTGCTCTCTCCCCTGGCTGTCTCTCCTTGCTCTCTCCCCTGGCTGTCTCTCCTGGCTCACCTTGCTGTATTTTTCAGACAGCGCAGTGCAACAGGCTGAGTAAACTAATATTCTTTGATGTAATACATAGCACTTCAACCTCCAGTATCCACCAGGGAGGTGTCAGGGAGCTTGGCTCAGCAGACTCAGGCTAATAGGTAATCATGTGTGCACAGCTAAATAAATATACCAGAATGGAATAAAGGGGCCGCCATTCACACCCTTCGTCATCTACCAGCATCAGCTTTGAGAGCTGCTGGTAGATCACCATCTACCTAATGGGCACCCCTGCTCTAGATCAATACAGACATCGGGTGCAGGCTGCAGTGTGCTCCCACCTGTCAAACAATATCTCTCCAATCAGCCATTGGATTGATTGGAGAGATATTACCTGCTTTGATCGGGTTAGAGAGGCTACTCTCACCACTTGAACTTCGGCACGTGACATCTGCACCGAGATTCAGAAGACAGCTTCTTAAACATTGATATGGGATCGCCGGCTGACTGGCACGGCATAATGAGATGAGTAGTTCTTCAACAGCTGAATGTAAACATCTGCCCAAGGAGATACTCAGAAGCTTCCTGAACATCATGGCCGCTTACCTTCACATCATACACTGCTGGCTGTACCTCTCCTCCCGTCCACGATGGCCTGCCACCCGCCATATAATGGCCGCTGCTCGGGTTGGGCGGAGGAGGGGGTGGTGCTGTGTGCCACTGGTATGGGTTGTGGGCTCCATACATGTTCCAGTTTTCATTCTGCGGGCTCTGCTGAGGCACCCCCTGGAAAAGATGAGGTCGTTATGTCAAATGTCGTATTCACCAATGCAATATAAAATGGCATAAGAAGAATTATTCAGGGCTGCCAATATGTCCATGTTCATTACAATCAAGTACAAGGTGAGCTCTGCCCAGTCTTGCATGCATCCTCCCTGCCACCCTGCCAATACAAGGAGCCAGGCCTGGCCATTGCCACTTAAGTTGTTCATAGAACCTGAGCTGCTAGTTAGGACAACACCAGTGCTAACCAGACCAGACTTCCAAGGAATGAAATTAAAAATGACACAGCGAATGCTGCATCTGTCAGCGCTGGGAAAGCAGTTTTTGTTTTTTCTGATGAACTCAAAAACAGTTTTATTATCTGATCAGCCAGTAGATCGGTTATCTTTCTTTGACAGGGTGACAACACTGTTTTTTCTACAGTAAAAAAATCACACAGCAGCGTTGTCACCCTGTGAACAGGGTAGTCCCAGCTTAACTTTAACACCCATTCACACCAAATCAGTTTTTTTTAACGGAGGGTAACCCAAAAACGAATTGGTGTGAATGGGACCAAATCACACTGCTCCGTTCCATTGCGCTGAAAAAGAAAAGTGGAACATGCGCTACTTTTTTTTCTTTCAGCGCAACGTTAAGGATAGCAGCGGTGTGAACTAGCCCCATTCACCCACATTCATTTTTCGGTGCCCTTGCCTTAGCATCAGTTGAAAAACAGATCGCAGTGCACTGTATAGGAAGGAAATGAGAAGGTCCAATCCAAGTCAACGGACCCTTCACTGACTTGCAATCACCTTTCGGTTTTGGTGGTTTGAATAGGCTCTTAGTGTCAAGAAAATTAAAGCATAACTCTAGCTAATTACTTTTTAAAGCGCACCTAACCCATTGAATGCTTCCCCTCTAGTGATGTGATATCCCCGGCTTTATCCAGCTTGGTTGGCTGAGCCGGGATAACATAACTACTACACATGCACACGGGAGGTCATTCATCCTGGCGTGCCCAGAATGTACACTGAGCTGTGCATGTGTAGCTCAAGTGTACTCTACCAGGCCTCATGCACAAGGGCAGAAGAAAATGCTGCTGTTGGAGGAATTTTTACCCCTGAACCTGGCTCTATGTGCAACCAATCAGCTTTTAGCTTTCATTTTCAAACAAACTGAAGAAGAAGCTAGAAGCTGATTGGTAGAACATCTCTCCTGCAACAAAAATCCTTCCTGCTTGTAAGTTTCAAATTCAGCCAATATTCTGCTTGAAGCGGCTGCTACAACAGGAGTGTCTTGTTTTCTGTTGGAAAAAAAGGTTTAACCCTTTTGCTGCCAGAGCACGTTATCGACATTAGGAAAGCACCAAAATTTTGCCCGAAAATGGTACTATGGGTAGAATGTCAATAGTAACAAAATGGCCGAAAATGCGGTGCATCCCTAGCTTCTCTCCGCTGGGCACCGGTCTGTGTCCCGTTTAATCCATATAAAAAATCGGCTCTATGTCCCGTCCGATCCCCAGTGCCTCTGCCGACACAGGCGGGGAAGAGTAGCGGGGATCAGAGGAGACATGGAGCTGATCCAGCTGCCAGCGCCCAGCAGAGATGCTATCAGGAGGCCTAGCAGGGTGGTGCAGGAGGAGAGCTTGGCCTCTTGTGACAAATGGAGCACTCAGGATGGAGAGCGGATAACAAACACTCAGTTCATTACTGATCGCTGAGTGCTTGTAAATAACTGAGGACATAATAAACTTACTGTATCCCCAGTTATGAATGAACAGGAAGTGCTATACATCATTTCCTGTACATTCATGATTGTTGACATAGTAATTGATACTAATAATATTTCCCCAAAGCCCCCAACAGTAAAAGTTAAAAAAAAAAAAATTATTAAATAATCTGAAACATTTTTAAAAAAACATTTAAAAAAAAAAAGTTTAATTTCGGTTTTGGTCTAAAAATTTTATTTCGGTCCACATTATAGCCCTGAAAATGACTTAAAACCCCTATAACCCCCCCGTTGACTAAAAATCACATCAGCATACAACTCTGCATGCCGGTATGAAATCATCTTACATACGTCAGCTAAACAAACATATTTGTATTTTACTTACAATTATTGTTTTTCCACTTCCTGGTCCTCCTGGGCATTAGTGATATCATGTGCCCAAGCGTGGAAGGTGACATCAGCAGAGAATTGCTGGGAAATCTCATCTGTAATCTCACCAGATCTCAGGGAAAGGCATTTTCCTCCCCTGAGATGATGTGCATGGTCATATGTCCCATACACATGTGCCAGAGTTCCAGGAAGTAAAGGGATGAGCTAGCAAGCTGCCCTTAGTAAAAATGGCAGCTGTGAGAAGAATGGGGAGGAAAAGAAAAGTAAGGTGTGCAAAGAATACAAATCTGGCAGTTATCTAGAAGATGTGGAGTCGGTGACAATACAAGTCTGGTACCGCCAGCACACAGGTGCTCCCTGGTTTGAGCAGATTGGTGATTCCAATATAAGGTAAGCCTGGGATACCTTGCTTTTAGCCACATACCTTTGACAAAGCGAAACACGTCAGGTGTGAGGTGGCTCCTACCTGTGCGGTGACCTGCGATGCAGACTGCAATCTGGGAGTTGGACGGATACGGCCATTTACTTTGTTATAAATGGACATTGAGCCAGCTTCCCAGCCAATCAAGTAGTCGGGTGGCGAGTAATGACCCGCCACCTAGCTTCCTGATTGCCCGGGAAGCTGGCTCCATGTTCCCCCTAGGGCACTGACGGTCAAAGGAAATCTTCCTCTGACCGGAAGTTCTGGTATCGGAGCATTCGGGCAAGTACAAGTACTCACCCAAATACAGTTCTCGGTATCGGCACATCCCTAATGTATATACCATGATACAACCTACAGCTCTATATGGACAAGCCATTTATCTACTCCAGAATTCATGTATTGAAAAACCATATACAGATACAGCTTTCACCAGTCGCATTATAGAATATATACACTGAGTGGCCAGATTATTATGACCACCCCATCAGTGCTTCATTGGGCCACGAGATGACTCCACGAGATGACTTAGTTGGGCCGCCTCGTGACCCCAGGTCCAGTCTTTAAACACAACGCCAGGCAGATTGCACGTTTACCTGCTGCAATACCGCCGCGGGCGATCACGGTTGAAAACACTGCGCGGTGCATGTCGTGAAAATAGGTACATCTACCTTTTTTTTAGCGATTGCCACGCAGATGTAACCCCATACATGCGGATGCAACCGCTGTATGCAACCGCACACGATCGCACGTCCTGGGAATCCCCAAGTCTGCACCAACCCTGAAGGGTAAATTCACTTTCCCAAGTAATTTGGGAAAATGGAATTACCCGCACAAATCTCCCTCCCACTATACTCACCTTTTGGCAAACGGTCCTTCCCGTCCACCAGTACGGGTGTACTATCTGTACCTGTTCCATGTATTCTGAATTTCACTCGCAAATTGCAAGCACTCGTTTGTCAACGCAGTCACCTGACGGCACTGACCAATGAGAAGCGCTTCTTAGCTCTGCTAAATACGGTTTTGGGTAAAATTATTATTTTTTGTATCAGGACAAGTAGATTCGGCCCCCGCTTTAGTCCTTGGACAAGTAGTTTTTTCCAAAATGATTTTGGATAACATTTATAGTACTTCCCCGTTGTACAATGGTACAATATATCCGCCACAGGCTGACTTTCTTCCTCCCCTGGGGTGTTTTGAGGGGATTTTAATATATTGATGTGTTTACATGCAGCAGTGAAGTTTTGTTTCTTACAAATTTGAGGTTTATGTTGGTTACTTACTATAGACTGTCTTGTTTTTGCTATAATAAAATGCATTATAAATCTTACATACATGGTCTCAGATGTCTCAGAGAAAACTACCAGATACTAAGCCCTCGTTCACACCTGAACGTTTTGTAGCGCGTTCTACGCTCGACGAACGCTCTACAAAACGCTCAGAAATATAAATCCCATACCTTGGCGTATTTCCGCCCGTCCCTAACGCGCTACAAAACGGCCCACGCCTGAAAAGGTACATGTACTACTCTGGGCCGTTTTGTTGCGCGTTTCCATTGGGATACAGCCAAGTAGCCTTCGGAAACACGCGTTTGTCGCGCGACTTTTTTACCACGAATCGCGGTAAAAAACCTAGGTGTGAACGAGACCTTAAAGTGACATTAAACCCTCAGAGTTTAACATAAAACAGTACTGTAGTGTGCGCCTTACTGTAATCCATGGTAGTTTCCCTTCTCTTTTTCTGCTCTTCCTTTTAAATCCGTATCTCTTCTCATGCTTGGGGAGAACTTCCCTTTGCAGCAGACTGCCTTGTCTCAGGAATGGATACACGGTGTCTGTGTATACATTTCTATAGGTTTGTAACCTGAGCCAGCACTACAGGAAGAGGCACTCAGCTGCAAAGGGAAGTTCTCCCCAAGCATGAGAAGACATGAGGATTTAAAAGGAAGAGCAGCAAAGAGAAGGGAAACAACCATGGATTACAGTAAGGCGCACATTACAGTATTGGTTTATGTTAAAAAATCTGAGGGTCTAATGTCACTTTAAAATCATCCCACCTAGAGGGGTCCAACCTTTTTTTTTTTTGCACTGACCTAGAAGTATCCGTATGTAGATTGTCATCACTAAACATTTCTACAGATGACATTGTTGTCATGTTTAAAGATAAGGAAATAAAGAATGATATATTTCCTGAAAGCGCAGATCCTGTAGAATAAAACTGCGTTTAATCTGCATTTAAAATAACTTTCGTATTTTAATATCACTTTAACCTCCCTGGCGGTATTCCCGAGTGTAGCTCGGGGCTTTTCCATACCATAAGCGGTAATCCCAAAGCTACACTCGGGAATGCCGCAAAGCATTTACTTACCTGGTCCCTCGAGCCGCACTGTGTTCTGCAGCCGATGCCGACTTCCGTCCCTTGCGAGCTTACGCGTAGCAGGTGGGTGGAACCGGCGACATATTTAAAAAAAAAACGAAAAATGACATGAAAAAAAAAAAATCATACTGCCAGGGAGGTTAAGTAAATAAAGAGATCAGCCACGGCCCCCGACCTTTACCTGTTGAAGGTCAGTTCCGCCTTCCCTTGTAGAACGACCGCGGCGGATGAAGAGCCTCATGGAGTGGGTCTTGTAAAAAAAATGACTGTAGTGGTTCCGAGTACAGAAAATGTTTCTTTCCTTCCTCTATGATATACGCTCTGTGTACGAAGGTCACGGCTTTCCCTATTTTTATCTTCTAACGATAGGTAAAGGTTTCATTTTATAACTTTGCCGTATAAAAGGTGAACTCTGCACCCGTATAAAAGACACAGAGAATGTAAATCTGGATTCACCAAGTTCAGAAAGTTTCCACATCTGCTAAAATCAGCCGTACATCGGATGCCTTCGGTCAGCCGAAGTTCAGAAGGAGCTCGACCCGGCCGATCAAACATCTGGATCGACTGAGTCGAAGCTCTGGCAGCTCACTCGCTGTCGTTCGCCCCTATTCACATATATTCTCATAGGGGCCGAGCTGCAAGTGAGTGAATAGCAGAATGCCGCCGAGTGGCATTCAGCTCGGCTCATCTGCTCGGTACCTCTGAAGTAGCGAGCAGAATAGAAAGTAAAATGAATGAAAAAAAAAAAGTAAAACAGGAAAATGTTTTTAAAAAAATATATATATATTGGGGAAAAAAATAACGCACGCCGAGCCGACGAACCCGGCCGCATAATGAAGCATCTGTAAGATGCCGGCAAAATAAAAACAATTGGGCGGAGCTAGTGGTGACATCACTTCTAGCTCCCCCCCACTGTTTCCTAATGGCCACCACCTGCTAGAGTCTTATAGCAGGTCCCGGCCAATAAATAACTGGGTGGAGCCAGCCGTCCAGTTGTTATTGTTTGATGATAGATCAGCGTCCCCAGGTTATTTGGGGACCCTGATTTGTCATTACAACTGGGCGGAGCCAGCCGTGGGATAACAGCTGGCTTCGCCCAGCTAGAGCCGACCTTTCTCCCCGCTTCGCCTATCACTACGGCTCAGCCGATCCGTAGCATATGGGTTTGGTTCGGCTAAGCCACTTGGCCGCTGTACGTTATGTTATAGTTAATAGCCCCTATAGCAGCCCTTCGGTTCGAAGGAAGGGAAGGGCCTCTACTAAAAACCAATCAGGTGTGCTGCATGCAAATGTGCTGACAAGGAACAAGGTAACATTTAGAGATGAGCTCAGGTTCAGATCCCCATAAACACCTCCACCTGATCAGCTGCGTCCCAGGCATTCCAACACACCCCCCCAGCATGTAAACAAAGGGGTGGGATTCTTGCACTGACATCATTCGCCTAATATGGTCACATAGCCATATAAGGTGAATGTCATTTAAAAAGCATAGCCATGTAGCCATATAAGGTCAATTACATCACTGTCTCTTTGCTTACGCCAAGCTGTGGGTGGGGAATTCCCCGCCAGCAGCTGATTGGGTGGCACGGAAGGAGCTACCTTCTGGGTTGAGAAGGAGCGCCTTCCGGGTTGAGGAGGAGCCTAGGTTAGGACCACTTTTGGTCCCAACCTGAGCTTATCCCTATTTACAACAAGAGTAGAGGAAAGACCTGAGAATTCTCCTGCTGCTCCTTCACTGTCCAATCAGCAGACTGCATCACTAACTGTATCAGTCATCCACCTGGCTGCGCTGGGTGAACTGGGTGAACTGACTGAGCAAATGATTTGGCTGATGAAAATTCTCCCCGATATACATTTCATCTGGATTTAGACGCTCGCCTTGAGTTCCGCTTTAACTGCTTCTTAGATGGACACCCCAATACGGAACTCAGAAGCCGGCTGGTTGAGCACCTACAGAGCCGAGAGATATTTGTGCTTCCAATGACGATAATAGAACAAAGACCAAAACATGGGAGATGCATTCCAGGATTGTGTCCGGGATTTAATCATATCGCTCATCCCTACAGACAAACGTAGCAAAGGCGATCAATACTCACCGGAGGAGCGGGGTATTGTGGGTATTGAGGATGCTGCTGAGGGTAACCCCAGTGTTGGGGGGCTTGCGGTGCACCGCCTTGCTGCTTGTAAGGATCCACAGCGTATTGAGGCTGCGAGGGAGGCGGAGGAGGAGGCGGAGCCGGCTGATAATAGGGATTGGCTGGGTGAACGCCGGGGTAAGGGGAGTTCATTGTAGACTGACCGTAGGCTGGTCCATAGGAGCCATTGGCATAGTGCTCCATGCCCTGTGAAGGAAGACGGCAAATAATTCAACTCATCGGGTTTTAGGCTATAGTAAGATCAAAAACACCCGAGAAGACCCTCGATCCCCAAATACTGGAAAACCTCTGGTAGTGGAGTGGATACTGAAAGTGTATAAGACACATATAATGGAAGAGATCCCTATTCATAAACTGGCGGACTATAACAAAGCCAGGCCAAGCTGGCCACATTTAGGTCTTATGCACACGGGCCCCCCGGGGCTGTACAGTGTCAAAATCGGGCCAGGAGCTGTGTACAGCCGCCCATAGAAATCAATGGCTTTATGAGGACAGAGGTTCGGGGTTGCATGTGCACACGTTTAAACAAGCACCCGCTTACAGACGCATCCTGTAATTGAATTCTACTGGTATCTGTAGGCAGCATCCTTTGCACCCTGGGGCCCTACAGCTTCAAAAACGGGCCATGAGCTGTACACAGCCGCCCATAGAAACCAATGGCTGTATAAAGACGGCGGTTCGGGGTTGCACGTGCACATGTGTAAGCAAGCACCCTGGCGCCCGTAGGCAGCAACCATGGCTCTGGGGCCATACAGCCAGCATTCATGGCACCCTGGGGGCCATAAAGCGTCAGAATCGGGCCAGGAGCTGTGTACAGCTGCCCATAGAACTCAATGGTTGGATATAGACGGCGGTTTGCACGTGCACATGTGTAAGCAAGCACCCGCTTAAAGCTGCATCCTGTAATTGAATTCTACTGTTGTCTGTAAGTAGCATCCATGGCCCAATTTGTACACTGTGCAGCCTGAGCTGGCCATGTGCATGAGGCCTTTAAAAACTTTGCAACCCCCCGCTAGTCTTTTGGAGACAATCCCAGATCTTATTCTATAGCAAAAAATGTTATAATATGTTTTGTAGACATGAGAAGACCGCCAAGGCCCCCTTC